GCAGAGAAAAGCGTGTACGAGAAAGAAAGTCTGCACAAGAAGAAATCAGAGAAAAGAAGAGCAAGGAGCTTGCGTGGAGCCTAGCTGAGCTCTTGTGTTTGGAATACTGAAAGAAGAAAATAAGGGAAAAGGGAGCGTGTCCGGGGATTGTCTGGAAATCACAGTGCCTGAAGTGCAAGGCAGCACTTGGAATGAAGCTCTGTCTGGGTCTCTGCCTTCTGGATTCAGTCTCCTGACTCTCCACTCTTTCCCCGGCTGCACCGAACTCATTGGATCTCCATACCCTTAACCCTTCTGGACACAGATACCTTTTGGACCCTTGGATTTTCCCCCAAGCTCTGGATGAAAGGATTCCCTAAAATAAATTCTTATTTTTTCATGTTCAAAGACCATCTTTTTTACTTTTAATATGAAATGAACATGTCACAAAGAGTGTTGGATTTCATTGATTTCAATCCCTCGTGCTCCGTATGCTGAAGAGGACTAGATAAAAGAGGAGGATGAGGTATTTCAGGCGCAGATGGCTTCTCTTCCTGACATGCTCTATTAATGCTTCGTTATAGGATTAAAAAGAGGAAGCAGAAATTGATAAAGAATACACGGCTGGAACACTGGTAGGACTGTCGGAAGCGTGAGTCCGTTACGGTTTTTATGATTGTTTCTTTAAATATACTCTAGTGTTATCAAGTTTTTTTTTAATTTATTTTTTGTCAAGATGCCTTGTTTTTGGAAATACTTCCAAGGAATTATGGCTACTACATTATGTACGTAGAAGAAAAAGGGAGATGAGAGACAAAATCTCTTGACTGGCACTTTTTGTTTTTCTTTGCTGAACTCAGTTTTATGTAACAGAGTGTGGAGTTCTCACCTTAAAAGGAGCCTCATACAGCTTTGGCTGCTGCTCTTGGAGATGGTGAAAGTAGCTGAAGCCCCGCTTTGATTTTTCCTGTTGTGGCAGTGGGAAGGAGAGTCAAGAGGAAGCAGCACTAAGAGAGGAAAGGATTTTGGATTTTGCCCTTGTTTTGAGGGTTTAGGACTCAGCGGTTCATAAAGGAAACAAAGGAATATTGTCCATGAGGGATGTTATTATCCTGTTATGGATTTTGCATGTCTGATTAAGACACTTACCAGCCTTTTTGTATATTTTTCTTAATATTTAATATGTTACTTCAAAGAGTTGTCTGTGCAAAAAAGACACTTCTAATGCTTATCAGCATTGCACGTGCAGATGCCGCCATGTAGCTCTGAATCGAGGGCTCGTACCTTTTCTTACTCGGATATTTATGCTGGATGTTAAGCATCGTAACACATTGTATACTGAGAATTCAGTGCATGACCATATATGCTTTTATTACAGGACTCATGGGTGAGCTATCAAAGTAGTTCAGAGCCTCACTATTGCTCACAGCAGGCTTTGTTTGTGGAATAGTAACCATCCCATCTCAGCCCCTTGAGGGTGCTGTGGTTTGGGATGGGAAAACCTCTGAGCCGCCCGGACTGCTTGCGGCAGAACCCCAGGTGCCTTGGGAAGGGTGATGATGAGGAGGCATACATTGAGGACTGCTATGTACCCCAGCGCTCAATTTACGATACTATGCGCATCAATGAGCAGATTGATCAAGGCTCGAAGCTCAGCCAGCCTTCTCGCAGCACTCTGGGCTCAGGGGGCGGTGAGGGGAGTACGCTGTCCAGCAATGGGACATTGGGAGCTGACATAGGTGGAGTATTTGTTGCACGGGGAGGGCCTGCAGATGCAGGTGTGAAAAAGCTGGATGAAAGAGTTATTTTTGATGCTCTCAAACTCACCAGTGACCCTCAGAGTATGTCACCTGTCGGAGGAGTCGGCTCTGCAGTGGTCATTCCTGCATCAAATTCAGCTGCCGTTGGGGCAGCTGTTGTGACCAAAAGGCGGCACCAGGGCAGTGACAAGAAGGACAATCCAAATCGGCGCTCCTGGAAAGCTTTCATGCCCCCTACTTACCCTGAGTTTGCAGAACGTTTAGAACTTTCACCAGGAGAGAGTGGAGAGAAGCGTCTGTCTGGGGCTGGAATCCCAGTCTCTCCTCTCCATCCTGTACCATCTTTACTAGCCTCTTCTATTCCTTCTACATCATCAACACCTTTGGCACCACCTTTCTCATTCTCCACTGCCTCATCTGGAGGTCCTCAAACTCCACCTGTCTCCAGCTCTCCATCTTTCACTTCCACAGTTAGCTCTATACCTTCCCATCTTCCTCATCTGCTCAAACAAAAACAGCCCCTCCAGCTGCACTCTCACAAACCGGCTACTGCTCTGTCTTCTCCTTCGAAAGAACAGCCACCCTCAGAGACTACTACTTTTGCTCATTCAGACTCTCCACAACCTAGTCCTAGTATCTCTCAGGCTGAGAGAAAGAGAGGCAAGCGGAGCAAACAAACTCAAGCCCCAATGTGTGTTAGAAGTATATCTGAAGAACCACCACAAAACTGGGAAACTACTGCAGCTAAAACCTCTGATAATGAGCGAGACTCACCCCTACTGGAACACGACCAAGACACCACGCCGTTAATACCCCCAAAACCGGTATTTTGTCCCCCCACTAAAGCCCGTACCTGGCCCCGTAGTATGAAGGGTAGTAAAAGGTCACTGGGGCATGGGAGGGTTCTTTCTATCCTGCCCCCACTGCCCCCCGTTCTTGGTGAGGAGAGTGATGAGGAATCTTTGTACCTGCTGGATCCTCCATCACCTTTCCTGCAAGAAGGAGAGGAACTTAATTATGGGGGGTTGCCCCTGTCTCCCTGTATCAGTCAAGAGGGTGGTGAGGAAGGTTTATTGGGCTGGCCTCCTCCTACTGGCGGGCTACGAGAAAAGACCGCTTCAGAACTTTGCTTTGAAGAAGATGAACGCAGAATCTTGAAGGAGTTGGAGGAGGAGGATGAGATTAATAGAGAGCAAGAAAAGAAAGAAAAGGAAGAGAGACTAGAGATGGAGGAGAGAAACTGGCAAGCGGTGTTGAAACTGGAGAGCAGTGAAACAAGTGGTATATCTTGGGAGGTAGAAGAGGAGGAATCGCAATTACAGGACTGGGAGACGCAACAACTTGCATCCTCAGGCCACTGGCCCCTTTTAATGCCACCTGTAGGATTTGGAGGCTCAGAGGCCCCCAGTGCTTCACCCTGCCCCAGCTCAGAGGCAGGTTCAGATGAACTCTTTCTTGAGCTGGAAAGACAGTGTTTGGAAGAGGACACAAACAAATCAACTGTTTCTGAGCAGAGGGATCTTTCTCATACTTCTGAATACTTAGATACCTTTGACAAGTTTCATAACAGTGAATTAACTGATTGTATCAACATTTAATTTTGAGTCTTTCTGTCAGTTATGCTTTAGTCTGAAAGGCATTTAGACCAACTTTCTAGCTAGCGAACATTTAGCTCATTTAGCTCTTTTAAAATAAGGGACATTTTTTTGCTTCTTTGATACAGACCCAACTGTTGGTAATGGTTGGTAATAGTTGGTGATTTCCCCTCAGATTAGTTTTTTTTTTAAAGTGCTCCTCGACCTGAAATAGTTTGAGATTCACTGATTTAGAATCACCTCACCAATATCCCTGTGAAGTCTACTAAAGTTGTCCTTGGGGGGTTTTCCTGAAGATCGTTGTACCTCACAAAGCTTTGTGGTTGTTGTTCGCTGTAGTGTTCAGTCAGAGAAATAACATAATTTAGTGCTGCATTTGGGTCAGATAAAATTAAGTCATCCAAAGTCCTTTGAAAAGGAAGCAGAGATAAAGACAAGGAACTGCGAGGCCGGAAAAACACAGGAGGCGAAAGCAAAGACAGGAAGAGTAGGACTGGAGAGAGAGTTTTGGAAAGTCTCTATAGAACAAGAATTTTGCTAATGGCTGTGTTTTGATTGATTCGAGAGAAATCATATTCCTGTGATTTCCTGGGATGTCCAGAAATGTTACATCTATTTTTTCCTCTTGTCCCTCAAGACAAGATAGACTTTTATTAGTTTTTTGCTATTTTTAGACATTTATAGCCTTAAATTTCTTATTGTATGCTTTGAGTATTATGCTTTGAAGAGCAAATTCCATGCCTTGATTCTGCCTATACTATATTTGTCGAACATAAAAAATACCTTGGAAGTTTCCATTAAATCGTCTTGAAATTAAATCCATTTTTTCATAATGTACATTATATGTTGGGATGCCTAAATTTACATTTAAAATGCAATGGAACATAGTGCATAGGTCACATAACAAAGCCAACATATCGGATGTAGTACTTTAGAATTTCATTCATGATACTATATACTTTTTTATTGGTTGTGAACTTCATTCTTCATTTATTGCAGAAAGTATTCAGACAAAATGTGATTTCGGACGCACCTATAGTATAATTTTAATAGCAGCCATGAAAATTAAAATAATTACAGGCTTTAATGGTATACAGTAGAATTTAAATAATGGTGCATATGCATTCCTCCCTAGTGCCGAGAGTAGTGAAATTGTACAATCCCCTTTGAAGTTGCATTGAGGTCCAAATCCATTCTGGTATATAAATCCCACTTTTTGTGATCCAACCAATTCCAATTGGTTGCACTAAAGTGCTTTTCCTGTTGAATATTCTGTTTCTTTGAGATAAGTCACATTACAAAATTAAAATGGATTTAATGTTGACTTTGGTAACTGCTGGTCATGGCGTTGGTCAGGGGTATTTGGCAACCTGTATGTGGTGAACCACTGTGTTGGCTATTCTGTCAGAGCTGTAGTGTTGGGCTGTTGGGGAAATAAAGCTGTACAGTGTTGCTGCCAAGGCACTGTATTTAATTTCAGTTAATGTGTGTGGGCTGAAAACTGCTTCCCCATTTATAAATGGCCATGCCACCATTATCATGTTGTTGTGTTTGTACAGCCTTGACCCGTTTAGACGCATTCTATCATATCACATGTCCAGTAGCAGAACAAGTGTCCAGTAATATACTCAAGTCATTTGTTCTCTTTCTTTTGTTCACTCTTTAGGCCATAGAAAGGGAGCAGATAGACAGCATTCAGCCCAAACTACAACATGTCAACGCTGTGGGTCAAGGTCTTATCCAGAGTGCAGCCAAACACACTGACACTCAGGCCCTGGAACATGACTTGGAGACCACCAACCTGTGCTGGAACTCCCTCAACAAGAGGGTAAGCTTGCATCAATTTTTAGCCTTTCTTTTTAGTTGACTGATAGAAATGGATTAATTAAATATGATGATTATTATTTTTATTATTATTTATTTATTTTTTAATTCACAGGTTGCTGAAAGAATCGCACAGCTGCAGGAGGCCCTGTTGCATTGTGGGAAGTTCCAAGATGCTCTGGAGCCACTATTGAGCTGGCTGAGTGACACAGAGGAGCTTATAGCCAATCAGAAACCTCCGTCTGCTGAGTACCGTGTGGTCAAGGCACAAATTCAGGAGCAGAAGGTTAGATTTTAATCAAATTTTAATGTAATCAGTTTTTAAAATACTCCATTAAAACCAAAAATTATTATATTATATTAAAGTTTTTGGAAATGATCTATTTTGTGACAAAAATCAATAATGGTTTAAAAGGAACTTTTGTTGAAAAACGTGATCCCTTGATCCGCATCAGACTTATTGGAATAATTTATCATGCTAGATTAAAAAAATAAAGAATTTTAATTTAATTAATTGAGGTTCCATATTATTCCTAGCTGCTGCAACGGTTGCTGGATGACCGCCGTGGAACGGTAGAGATGATCAGGGCAGAAGGAGAACGTATCGCTGCTACGGCTGAGACACAAGATAGAGACAAAATCCAGAAACATCTTAAGAGCCTAGGAGAGAGATGGACAAATCTGCTGGAAAAGGCCAGCGCCAGGTAAACTCCATAATCAGAGCAATATGGACACCCAGACACAGCCATAAAATTTCTTAATCAAATCTCTTACTCAGAACTCAATCACTTGGTTGCTTTACAAGACCATAAAAACAGAGTAGTCATAAGAATATAACACAGATTTCCTCCTCACCTCGTGTCCTCAGGCAGCAGCAGCTAGAGGAGCTGCAGGTATTGGCGCTGCAGTTCCACGAGGCAGTGGAGCCACTCGGTGAGTGGTTGAGTGCAACAGAGAGACGCCTGAGCTCCTCTGAGCCAATGGGAACCCAGACCTCCAAAATCACACAGCAGATTGTAAGGCACAAGGTAGAGTATACACAGCACCTGGGAGAGATGTATCCTAGGAGTCTATTGCCAGAATTGTTGCTTCATCGCGTCGCTATATCATTTTAGCAAGCGATTTTCAAAGTGTCAAGCATCATTAGACTGACTAGAGATGCAGAGGAGAGAACAGATTGTCAGTCTCCTGTGGTTTTAAATGGACTAGTAGGAGTGCCGTTATCTAAGAAGGGTCGTGATCCTGCCCACATCCTTTCCTTGTGCAGTTTAATTTCATCATGATTTTGTGTTTACATCTCATCTTGTGTTGATTCACATATTATTTTTTGCTCACATCAGTTATTTATGATTTGTCATTATTCTGCATTGTCATGTTTGTTTATGTTTGCCTTGTCTTTTTTTCTCTCCATCTACTCGTTCAATCACGTCTCCTCTTTACTCTGGGCTATAATCCCAGGCTCTCCTAGAGGAGGTATCCTCTCGGGAGAATGACGTAAACCATCTTGAGACTCTCAGTCAATCACTGCACCCGCTCAGCTGTGTGGCTGATCGTGATTGGCTGGGCGAACGTGTGGCGGCAGTGTGCAATGGGCACACGGAGCTGCACGATTGGTGCAGTCGGAGAGAGGTCATGTTGGAGCAGGCCCTGGCCAATGCACAGCTATTTGGAGAGGAAGAGGTGGAAGTCCTTAACTGGCTAGCTGAGGTGGCCCAGAGACTGGCTGAGGTCTCAGTGCAGAGTTATCAGCCGGAGCTACTAGAGCAGCAACACAAACACACACTGGTATGATTCTGAAGGTCATAGCTGCCCAGGATCAACAATACCGTATAAGTCAGTTTAGAGAATATGAATATTTCCTAAAAAAAACTCACTCAGTAAGGTCAGAGCTATACTAGATCTGTCATTCAATTAAAATTAATTGTGATATTCTGATTAAATAATAAAATGAATTGCATATACCAATGCAGTGTATTTTATTTTATTCATTCTATATTATTTTATATAATATCCCTGTGAATTATGTTCAGAGTTAATGTTTCTACTGCTGGTTCCCTACAGGCTCTTAATGAAGAGATTATCAGCAGGAAGAAGACAGTGGACCAGGCCATTAAGAATGGACAGGCTCTGCTTAAACAAACCACTGGTACTTTTCCATCCAGCCTCTGTGTTCATTGGTGTATCAACAAATTCCTGCTTTGACTGTGATCATGTTTGATCTCCGTGACAGGTGAGGAGGTCCTGTTGATTCAGGAGAAGCTAGATGGCATCAAAAGCCGCTACGCAGAGATGACAGTGGGCAGCAGCAAAGCCCTCCGTACTCTGGAACAGGCCCTTCAGTTGGCCACGCGATTTGCAAGCTCGCACGACGACATCAGCCAATGGTTGGATAGCGTGGAGGCGGAGCTTAACAACATTGAGCCAGACACAACACCAGCCTATCAGGACAGACAGAGGGTGAGGATGTCTATCTTTTTTTAAGTACTCATGAATCACTTTTTACTTTTTGTTTTTGCTAAACCAAATAATTTTTTTTTACAATATTTTTAAGCCTTCTGTGAATTCATTGTTTTATATTGTGTGTATGTTTGGCTCAGGAGCTGAAGTGCGTGTCTGCTGAGAAGAGGTTAGTTCTGGACACAGTGAATGAGGTGGGCAGTGCTTTACTGGATCTGGTACCCTGGCGTGCACGAGAAGGCCTGGACCGCCTGGTCGCCGATGCCAATCAGCGTTACCGCCAAGCCCAAGAGACCATCACACAGAGAGTGCAGTTAGTGCAGGCTGCCATCCAAAGGTCACAGCAGGTACTGCAGCAAATACTGTACATATATATGTATGATCAACACACAGCCAAAATCTAAACTTACTTAAAATGTAACTTTATTCTTTCCATACCTTGCAGGCATTAGTATTTTCTTTTAGGAAATTCAAATTGAATTTTATATAATTATTTTACAATATGTCTTTTTTTCTTTTTAGACTGATGCAATACTTTAAAGTACATATAAATTGTTATAATAAATAAATACAAAAGAATAGTAACACTTTAGTATAGGAACCAATTCTCACTATTAACTAGTTGCTTATTAGCACACCTATTAATAACATATTGACTGTTAATTAATACTTATAAAGCGCATATAGGTAACACTTTAGTATAGGGACCAGTTCTAGTAGTCTATTAGCATGAATATTTAACAACTACCTTACTAACTATTAATAAGCAGCAAATTAGGAGTTTATTGAGGCAAAAGTCATAGTTAATGATTTGTTAATGGTGAGAATTGTACATTCAAATAAAGTGAGTCCAAAATAATAAGTTCATTTGCAGCTTTAACATACATTTTAAAATATTATCAATATTATAAATATTTAACATAAGTTGTTGCTTAAGCAAAGTTTGATTTAGGATCCTCTGTCCATGTTGCCTTCTTGAATTTGTAAATATTTTCAACATGCTTCCTTTTTTTTTTGACAATGTATTTGTGTGTTATTGTTTCAGTATGAGGAGGCAGTCGATGCAGAGCTGACCTGGGTCGGAGAGACAGAGAGGAAGTTGGCATCTCTGGGGCCTCTGAGTCTGGAGCCTGATGTGACTGTGGCTCAGCTCCAGGTGCAGAGAGCCTTTAACATCGACATCATCCGTCACAAAGACACCGTGGACCAACTCCTTAAGACACAAGAGGACATCCTGGAGAGCTGCAGCGAACAACAGAGAGAGGCTTTGAAGGTTAGAGACAAAATAAAGAAGAGAGAGAGAGGGGTCAGAATAAGCCATGTAATTAGTCCTCTGCGAAAGGTTAGATCAGGAAAATTTCATTGATGTGACTCATGCATTTTCTGGTGGAGATTTGATTTGTCGAGTCATGTTTGGGACAAACAACAGTGCCAGCTTGTTGTTTCAGTCTCTAAAGATTCATTTGGTTGTCCCGATAAAACCTCTTTCTGCTTCCTCCTGTAGGTGAAGACGGACTCTTTAAGTGCTCATTATGAAGCAGTAAATCAGAGTCATGCTGAGCGCTTCTCCGCTCTAGAGCAGGCTCAGGTGCTAGTAGCGCGGTTCTGGGAGACGTATGAGGAACTTGAACCCTGGTTGGGCGAGACAGAGACTCTGATTACCCAGTTACCCCCTCCTGCCATCGACACAGAAGCTCTCAGACAACAGCAAGAGCAGATGAGGGTGAGTGGGCAGTATGCAGACAAAGGACTTGAGTACATTTTGCTCCTTTGTGGCTATATGATGCATTCAAGTCATGTCGGAAAGATCTTATTTATGTGTTGAACGCATATGAATGTCTCCACAGTCTAAATTACAAGTGAGGATTTTCTTTGGATTTTCTAAAATCCAGAGTTTGGGGTGTGTCATTGAGAAAACATGTTAGACACAGGGAATGCAGCATCTGTATTAATAGTACATTTGTTAAAAGTAATGTATTTATAATTTACAATTAAAGTATCTATCTTGCATGCACAAAATCTAATGTATTGTGCAATTACAATATATAACGATTCAATTTACAGCATCTTCATGAACTGAATATAAAAAAGCAAAAATGCAACCCAAAGGTTCCCAAACTCATAAATATGTACTTCCCAGGAGAACTTGAATGCATCATTAGACATGGACTAAGAACCACAAAAATCACAAATCCACAAAACATTTTTTATTTCATGTAATATATATTGACATTACATAACATGTTTTATATGTCTTGCTTCCTAGCTTCTGAGAGAGTCCATCGCTGAGCATAAGCCTCACATAGATAAACTGCTAAAGATCGGCCCACAGCTGGCAGAACTGAGCGCCCAGGAAGGGGCAACAGTAAGACAACGTTATAATGAAGCAGAAAGACGTTACCTCAGCATCAAAGAGGAGGTTAAAGGTCGAGCCACAGCACTGGATGAAGCAGTGTCACAGTCTGTCCAGGTATTTGCTGCAAAATGTTAGCATGCTTATTTTGGACTGCTGCCCAGCTTGTGATTTATTTAAAGGTTGTTACAGCCCACAGTTCTGCATTATACAGCACAATATCAACTCATTTTGTATATTCAAGCTATTTTAATGACACGCATCACCTTTATTTTACCCATTGTTTCGGACTAAGGCATTTTTTAAAATAACATCACTGACATCTGACATCAGGTGCATTTTGGCTTAATGTTTGTGTTATTAATTCTTCTTGCTGGCCTGTTGCATGCTGTTGAATTAACACATTGTACTGTTTCTCCACCTCCATCCCTTCAAACTCTACTTTACTGTGACTCCACCTGTCCCACCCCGTACCTCATATCCTGTCACCCTTTCCTCTCCATATCCTGTATTCCCTAAACTTCCCCCATTCCTGCTTGTTGCAACTCTCCCCTTGCCCAATCCCTGCACCTCTCCCTCCCATGTCCGTTTGGTCCATCCGTCTACCCATCACTCTTGTTTGTGGATGTGCTGTGTGTGTCCATCCCTTTATCATCACTGCTCTCTGCAACTCCCTCAGCTGGTAGAGGTAAGAGCATCATCACCCACTGATTTAACCACTGATATAACATCTGTATTGGATTGAGAATCAATCATTTTCAGGAATACTTTAATCCACAATGTTTTATATACTTTTATTTTGAAAACGTCATGTGACACAAAAAACTGGACTTTTATCCAGTTTTTGGTGTCACATGACTCTTCAGAAATCACTCTAATATGTTGATTTGGTGCTCAATAAACATTTCTTCTTATTATCAGTCTTGAAAATAGTTGTGTGGCTTAATATTTTTGTAGAAAACATTTTCAGGATTCTTTGATGAATAGAAAGTTTTAGAAATCTTTTGTAGAATTATTATTGTAGTCTTTACTGTCACTAATCAGTTTAATGCATCCTTGCTGAATAAAAATATTTCCTTCAAAGAAAAGGAAGAAAATAAATCTTACTGACCCCAAACTTCTGAATAATAGTGTACAAGTGCTGTGTAATACCAATGCACCTAACACGAGCCATTTAAACCTAAAAAATGTTAATACAACATTTTCAGGATTCTTTGATGAATAGAAAGTTTTAGAAATCTTTTGTAGAATTATTATTGTAGTCTTTACGGTCACTAATCAGTTTAATGCATCCTTGCTGGATAAAAAATTTCCTTCAAAGAAAAGGAAGAAAATAAATCTTACTGACCCCAAACTTCTGAATAATAGTGTACAAGTGCTGTGTAATACCAATGCACCTAACACGAGCCATTTAAACCTAAAAAATGTTAATACAAAATTGTAAAAATTAGTTAATTTCTTTCCACTTTAAAAAAAGTAGCATACAGGTTTCCGATGTGTCCATGCATGATGAAGGTGTCAGTATTCTGTGGTGTATTCCGTAGTATTCCTTATTTAGCACCAACTTCCTCTACCCCTTAGCATGTGTCTGGGATAAATCTTCCCTCTTCCTTAGGCCTGGTCCTTTTGCAGTTACTTTTGTGTGCTGTATTTGTTCTGATTGTTGTCTTCTTTCTCTCCATTCAGTTCCATGATAAGATGGACCCTCTGTTGGAGACTTTGGAAGGTGCGGTCCAACGCATGCGGCAGCCTCCTCCAGTGGCGGCTGAGGTGGAGAAGATCCGGGAGCAACTTGCGGAGCACAGGGCAACAGGACTAGAACTGGACAAACTCCTTCCATCTTTCAGTGCCCTGTGTGCCCGAGGAGAAGAGCTCATCGGTCGCGCCCCACATGACGATCCTGCCGCCCAGGGTAAAGATCTTTAATCTGAAATGAAACTTTATGGTTGTATGAAATGCGTGATCCTATGTGTTTTTCTAAATCTGTAATCTGTTCCCATCCTCAGCGGTGCATTCACGACTCTTGCGGCTGCGCTCTCTGTGGGATGAGATCAGGCAGAGGGCAGAGGAGAGAGAAGGAAAGCTTCAGGATGTTCTAGATCTCGCCGGGAAATTCTGGGCTGACATGGCCGCTCTACTGAGCACACTCCGTGACTCTCAAGACATTGTGAAAGATCTGGAGGACCCAGGGGTGGATCCTTCACTTATAAAACAACAAATAGAGGCAGCAGAGGTCTGTCCAAAAATAGAGTCACTAGCAAGACATGATTTATTTTTTGGTTTATTCAAATTTTCAGTGGAGATGTGCAAAATCTACACATTTTCAAAATTGACTAGTTCTGTATAGATCAGCAGTTTGCAACCACTAGAGGACATCAGCAAAATTCAAAGGGAACTGTTAAAAAAATCTGTGTAAACTGAAAGTTATTTCTTGTGTAATATTATAATATAATAAAGAATAATATAATAACATATTTCCCCGTTAATAAATGTTGTTTATAATTAAAGAATAAATTCTTGGAGCAAAATGTAACTTCTGAAATCAAAAAATGTAAGATTAAAATGTAACTTCTGAAATCACAAAATGTAAGCTCAATCAGCTTTGTCATTATTACAGCAGCCCTGTACATTTTAATAAAACTCTCCTTAATGGGGTTTTAGAGTAGATCAAACTACATGATCTTGTGTCAAGATGTTGATCTCAAGAGAAATGTAGTCATGATGTTTTTGTCTCACACTCAGGCCATTAAGGCAGAGACAGATGGGCTGAGGGAAGAACTGGAGATCGTACGAACACTTGGAGCTGACCTCATCTTTGCCTGCGGAGAGACTGAGAAACCAGAGGTCAAGAAGACCATCGATGAGGTAAGAGGGTAGAACAGTGATGAGCAATGTAGGGAACGCCCTTTTCACTCACATTTAAACAAAATATCTCCATTTTGTTTCGCTTAGATGAATGCAGCCTGGGAAGGCTTGAACCGCACGTGGAGAGAGAGAATGGAGAGACTGGAAGAGGCCATGACTGCCTCTGTGCAGTACCAGGATGCTCTTCAGGTGTCTATCACTCTATTGGTACCACAAAATCTTCCCTGATTTGTCAAGCCAACTGTGTGTTCACAATTATCACTTTATATCTCCTCAGGGCATGTTTGACTACTTGGACAACGCTGTGATCAAACTGTGTGACATGCCAGCTGTAGGGACAGACCTCAGCACTGTTAAACAACAGATCGAGGAGCTCAAGGTTTGAATCAGACCTTATCTACTCTTATCTAAAAAAAAACACATTGAGAAAAAGATTGACCCTTTTTCTTTTTACATGGCACAGCAATATAAAGTGGAAGTTTACCAGCAGCAGATTGACATGGAGAAGCTTTGCCACCAAGGAGAGCTGCTGCTCAGAAAAGTGAGCGACCAAACAGACCGAGACATGGTTCAGGAGCCTCTCACTGAGCAACGCCACCTATGGGACAACCTGGTGGACAAAATCACAATCAGACAGGTGAGGAAATACAGACCAGTTTATTATCTCAGTCTCCTTTTGCATTTACGAGACAATTACTTATAAAACAGATCATTTAGATAACTAAAATGCAAATAAACACACACTGATAAGAGTTCAATCCTCCAAGTGCTCCTTAAAACAGCCTACCATTAGGCTAATGAACTATGAATTAATTAATTGTTATTGCTATTAGCATTATTTTTATATTACTATCATTATTGAATATTGGGTATTGTCAAACTAGAATTGTAAAATGGAGTATGAAAGCTAATATCAAATAAAATTAAGTTCAGTTCATCTGCATTTTAGAGGGCAGTAGGGCTGTCAAAAAAAATCGAATTTAAAATATTCGTCGAATTTAAAATAAAAATCCACATTAGAATGCAAAAACGTTGCATTCGACTTTTTTAGGTGTGCGTTAAGGAGGCAGCCTTATCTGCGGCGCACGAGATGCGATGATGATGTAAGTGTCATTGCATTATAATGTTTTTGTTAGCCTATCCAGTTGAAGCCACTAGATGTGGCGCTGCTGCGTTGTTCATTAAAAATATAGCAGAAAAAGAGAACATCAATGCGGAGAAGATCTTTTTTACATCAAAACTGAAACCAAGCCGTTTACACGAACGCATATTTCATGGATTTTCTAGACGGACGTCTATTACTGTTGCACTCGCGTCTTGCACAAAAGAGCCGCATGTTTAGAAAGCCATGTCAAAATAATGTAAGTTTAACTTTGAAAAAAAGCATATATCGAGACTTTATGGCCGGTTTTTCCCCATCCCACTGCATCTCATGTTTTCAACTTCAGCACAATAACAATCAAACAACACTCCTTCATGGGTACATACATAAATATTTTCCCCAAAGTATAACATAAAAAGTAAAAGAAATTTCAGTCTGGTCAACTGGTTACGATATAAGCAAATATTTGTAAGCATGTATACGTGAATGTTTGTGGTCATACATTCATAAACATAATACTCATTTCCTTAGGCTTACTATCAAGCAGCCGTTGATCCTAATTACATACATTTACATTAATGAATATACATATTTCTGCATCTCATGTTTTTAAATGAAAAATGTACTCTGTGTGATTGGCTTTCCGCCCTGTCCGCATACATACATGATGCTGTTTTGTTTATGGTTGTTTAAGCAACTTATTTATAATTGGTTTATAAACATTATTTTAAACATTTTGCACTTTTTTTAGCAGATAGTCATGTTATCTTATGCTTTGAATCTTGCGACCTCAGGAGAGAAAAGTGAGCGACCAAACAGACCGAGACATGGTTCAGGAGCCTCTCACTGAGCAACGCCACCTATGGGACAACCTGGTGGACAAAATCACAATCAGACAGGTGAGGAAATACAGACCAGTTTATTATCTCAGTCTCCTTTTGCATTTACGAGACAATTACTTATAAAACAGATCATTTAGATAACTAAAATGCAAATAAACACACACTGATAAGAGTTCAATCCTCCAAGTGCTCCTTAAAACAGCCTACCATTAGGCTAATGAACTATGAATTAATTAATTGTTATTGCTATTAGCATTATTTTTATATTACTATCATTATTGAATATTGGGTATTGTCAAACTAGAATTGTAAAATGGAGTATGAAAGCTAATATCAAATAAAATTAAGTTCAGTTCATCTGCATTTTAGAGGGCAGTAGGGCTGTCAAAAAAAATCGAATTTAAAATATTCGTCGAATTTAAAATAAAAATCCACATTAGAATGCAAAAACGTTGCATTCGACTTTTTTAGGTTTGCGTTAAGGAGGCAGCCTTATCTGCGGCGCACGAGATGCGATGATGATGTAAGTGTCATTGCATTATAATGTTTTTGTTAGCCTATCCAGTTGAAGCCACTAGATGTGGCGCTGCTGCGTTGTTCATTAAAAATATAGCAGAAAAAGAGAACATCAATGCGGAGAAGATCTTTTTTACATCAAAACTGAAACCAAGCCGTTTACACGAACGCATATTTCATGGATTTTCTAGACGGACGTCTATTACTGTTGCACTCGCGTCTTGCACAAAAGAGCCGCATGTTTAGAAAGCCATGTCAAAATAATGTAAGTTTAACTTTGAAAAAAAGCATATATCGAGACTTTATGGCCGGTTTTTCCCCATCCCACTGCATCTCATGTTTTCAACTTCAGCACAATAACAATCAAACAACACTCCTTCATGGGTACATACATAAATATTTTCCCCAAAGTATAACATAAAAAGTAAAAGAAATTTCAGTCTGGTCAACTGGTTACGATATAAGCAAATATTTGTAAGCATGTATACGTGAATGTTTGTGGTCATACATTCATAAACATAATACTCATTTCCTTAGGCTTACTATCAAGCAGCCGTTGATCCTAATTACATACATTTACATTAATGAATATACATATTTCTGCATCTCATGTTTTTAAATGAAAAATGTACTCTGTGTGATTGGCTTTCCGCCCTGTCCGCATACATACATGATGCTGTTTTGTTTATGGTTGTTTAAGCAACTTATTTATAATTGGTTTATAAACATTATTTTAAACATTTTGCACTTTTTTTAGCAGATAGTCATGTTATCTTATGCTTTGAATCATGCGCCCTCTTGCGACCTCAGGAGAGAAGCCAAGAGCTTTTCTTCAGCCTAACTGAAATTATGCATTTTAAATTCGAATATAATTCGAATTTTGATCATATTTAAGTACAAAATTCGAATTGAGTTTTTCAGCCATTTAGACAGCCCTAGAGGGCAGACAGGAAATGCTCTTACTCTTGATTGTATTTTGACTCTTTTCTCTCTCTCAGCACAAACTGGAGGGTGCGCTGTTGGCTCTAGGTCAGTTCCAGCATGCACTCTCTGAGCTGCAGTCTTGGCTCAGTCACACTCATGCCACACTGGACACCCAGCGACCCATCAGCTCTGACCCCAAGGCCATCGAAATTGAGCTGGCTAAGCATCATGTACGGAATATTTGGGACATTTCTATATACTCTACTTTTTTATTTCCTTTTTAAAGCGGTTTCCTGTAATCAAGCTGTCTTTGTAGGTTTTAAGAAATGACGTGCTGTCCCATCGGACTACAGTGGAGACGGTGAACAGCGCAGGTTCTGAGCTGCTGGAGTCCAGTCCTGGAGACGAAATCAGCCACCTGAGAGACCAGCTGGATGAGCTCAACCGCAGCTGGAAGAACCTTCTGCTGAAGACTGATGAGAGGCAGAAGCTTTTGGAAGCTGCCCTGCAACAGGTGCTCTCTAGATATTACTACTGCATCATTATACAGAGAGATCTGATTGAAAGCACCAATAAAAACAAGTGCATCTGCATATGTTTGTAGCCTGAAATGCACCATTTACAATGGATTACATTCAAGTCGATTCAATAAAATGGATGCAGTTTGGAGGGTTGCTGTGCAGCGAGAATGGTTCTCTTGAATATTGTAGTACAGGTGTCAGACTCAGCTTGCAGAGGACCAGCCTGTCCATGGAGATCTGGATCTTGTTTCCAACCTAATGGATTCCCATAAGGTACTAATGGAGTGATTCTCAGGAAATGTTGCTTTCAAAGATTTTAAACATGAAATCTGAAGACTTGCATCAGCAAATTTCCTTTTTAGTCATTAATAACAAGGTCTATAGTGTCTGTCACTCTGTGAGCATTCATTTATAAAGATTTTACTAATTTTAATCAATTACAAGAACAGTCTGAAAATGTCAAACTAATACTTTTTCACATTTCTTTGATTATTAACAGTCAGTCACATTTAATACATTTAAATTGTTACTGCAGCTGTCTGAAAATGTCAATTTCATCAGGAAAGCTAATATATATATATATTATTTTTTATTTATAACAAAAATGTTTCTTGAAACATTGAAAATACATATATTTTTTGACTTATTTGAGTGATTTCTCTCATTACTGCAATCCCTTCCGCAATTTACAACCTAATATATTTTTTTATCAGATTGTATCATTATAGACGCAGTAGCTGCGTTTCCAGTACCCTTCAAATTGCGAATTGAAAATATGCCCAATGGAGACAATTTCACAAAAACCCTCATATATCACAAAAAAATTGTTTTTACGCTCGCACGAGGTGGTTTTTCAGGCAATTTGAAAAAGGAATATTTCGTAAAACTGCAATGGAAACTTTTTTTTTGCATTTACAGGTCACCTTTGTAAAAGTCACATGATCATTCTTTAATATACTATAACCTCCAAGAAACACCTCATTCGTGGCCACTCAAGTATAAGGGGCTTTCCTTGCCATTAATGCTTGGAAAACCCCTTATTTACACTGCATACGTCTGCGGCACATTACGGCTCCGACACGGCCACTCTAGTCAATGCTTGTGTTTACACCAGCCGCGCCACGGCACGTTTCAGAAGCGGCTCTCCTCGCTCCTTCTCTAAAGATACGTACATACATCTCCTTTGATTAAAAATAATGGCTAGTGCATTGGCTGCAATATACATAAACCTAACAACATCTGTCACCATGAAAATTATGTTTTAGTCGCATAACATGGGTGAATGGAAACGCCGTCATTTCGCAATAGTTTTTTATGGACATATATAAAATATTGCAAAAGTTTCCACAAATCTGTAATGGAAGTGCGTCATGGACTTGCCTGCTGATCTTAGTTTTCATGTACCTTTTTTAAATCCCACTTAAACTATGCATTTTGTTTGCAGAGTTCCCTACCAGCAAGCTGGAGATGACCGCTGTTGCTGATATCTTTGACCGTGATTGTGATGGCTACATCGACTATTATGAATTTGTGGCTGCTTTGCACCCCAACAAAGATGCTTACAGACCCACAACAGACGCTGATAAGATCGAGGATGAGGTATGGACGATGAATTTTTTAGATTTAGCATGCTAATGTACTTTTCATATGTTTAAGCTGAATTAAATCCACGTTTTTTTTAAATCTCAGGTCACCAGACAAGTGGCCCAGTGCAAGTGTGCCAAGAGGTTTCAGGTGGAGCAGATTGGAGAGAACAAGTACAGGGTGAGAATCTGGAGCCCAACAGTAATAATCAAGGATGAATTCAAGTCTAGAAGTTTTAATGCATTTAATATGACATTTATAAAAGTGTATAAATGAGCTGCTTTATCTCACCACACCTTCTCATTCAGATCATCCCTGAGCTTGCCATTGTAATATTATGACTCTAACCAGCATCATACTCTTTCAGTTACATCAGTATGACTTGTTCATTTTGAAACAAAGGTGCCTTGTGTGTGTACGCAATACCACCATAATACTTCACACCCAACTAATGATCAACCCATGAGACGTGGCTGCTGCAATCAAGATCACTAAGTGGTCTTTCATACCTCAGCATCATTATCCATTGGTTAATGATCTTTGACAAGACCGTTTACTAACTTGTTGCATTACACAGGCTACAGATCCACAATGCTAACTCCACATCCTGATGTTTGTCTGTCTTTGTCTGTCTCTTTACTACTTCACCTTCTGTGGTGTCCTCATTGTGTTTGTTTTCAAGCAACCATTCACAAGCACTCTACCCTGCTTATAGCAACAAATCGCCATGCTCCCTGTGGACATTTTCTCCATTGTATGCTGTCTTTAGGAATAGTTAAAAGGAAGTGAATCATTATACCAGCATAAAAGGTTAATGTGTTTATGTCTGTATTTGGTATTTCATTCTTTTTTTCTTTTCTTTCCTCTTGTTTTATTCCTCCTCCATGTGCACCGGACTTTTTATAGTTCTTCCTTGGGAATCAGGTAAAGTGAGCCGTGTGTTTGTGACATGTCCTCTGAAATCTGTTGCCTCTGTACAGTTCCCATGAGCTCCCACTGTAGAAGCTGGTCTTTTATTCTGGGGTTTTTCAGAAAGCCAGATCTAAATCAGTACGGGACAGTTTCTGCATGGACTAGCTAAGAATTCCCTGTGGACAGCCCACATTCTTGGCTGCTGTCTGAAGTGGGGATTTCTTTAGTGCCTTCCTGCTTTCTCAGTGGGCATTTCCTGTCTGGGAGACAAAAATTGCAGTGCCATTGCCAAAATATTAAATGCATTTATATACACCTTCCAAATCCAGAGGCAGATTTCAAAGGTTCAGCTTATGTGTTGTGGTTGGGATGTGCTTGTTTTTTTATTTTTATTGAAAATGAATGACGATCAGGAAATGATTCAGATTTACAGGGCTTTTTGTTATGATTTTAGTTTTTTTTGGCTTTTGGTGGAGGAAAACTATCCAATGGCTGATTTCTTGACTTAGAGAAAATAAACCTTCAACCAAAGCAATTCTTTGAAGTAAAAAAGGACAAACGTTCAGAGAAAAATTCCAGAGAATTGCTGTGGTGTGGTGTTTATTGTAGAGATGGGATTTTGAACTGGGCAAGCTTTAACATAAATCATGTAGATTTTTTAAAATGTGGTTTGCTGTGTGATTTCTTATGATTTGCCTGGCGTGTCATAATATAATTAGTATAATTAACTCATTTGAATATGATCTTAAAGCAATAGTTCACCCATTGTAGTTCACATAGTTATTTGCTTGACCTCATGTCATTCCAAACTTCAGTGTTATTTTTTTTTTGTGGAATATAAAAGGAAACATTTTGAAGAATATTCATGCAAATCCTTTTATAGAAAAGTTTTCCTTCTGTTTTTCACACTAAAAATGACAATGATAATCCTTTATCTCTCTGTCTGTCCTCTTCCCTCTCATATCCACGTTTGTTCCTCTCCACTCTTCCTCTTCTTTCCTCTGCCTTTCTTCAGTTCGGAGACTCACAGCAGCTGCGTCTTGTACGAATCCTGCGCAGTACAGTCATGGTCCGGGTTGGAGGAGGTTGGATGGCGCTGGATGAATTCCTGGTGAAGAACGACCCTTGCCGAGGTAAGTCTGACATAAGCGCTGGAGGAAACTTGCTCTTTCGGGACATGAAACAGAATTCCAGGAAGTGCTGCTCGACTCTGACAGACACAGCATTATTCATATTTCCACTCAATACTTTTATCATTTATCTCATCATCTTTCACTTCATTCTTTTCTCTGAGTGTTCTCATCTTTTCAGTACTATCCGAGTTCACTCTCATCTCATCTTCCATCATTTACCTATTACTTCCTTACCTCATTCCCACGGTGTTTTTTTTTTTATATGCATGGCCTACACATTTGGCTCTTTCTCTCTTTCTCCCTGTCATTCTCCTTTTTTTATTTTGTGTAATTGTAGTGCATGATGCATGTTCCTTAGGTCTCTCCCTCCCTCTTTCTCTGCCCCGTCCCCTATCTCTCTTTCTCTCTCCCCAGTGCAACATCCAGGACTTAAAATCCTCCGTTCTGACTCCAGCAGCTCCATATCATCTCGCATAGGTTGGGTTTTTCTCTCTCCTTCTCGTTGAGATATTCTTCTTTTTCACTCGTTTGGTTTCCCTCTCTTTCCCTCTGTTTCGCTCACACCTCGTTTGGTTCTTTGTTGCTTTGCTGTGCTTTGCTGACTGTGACACTGATCTAATCGGCCCCTGACCCTCACGCCTGGAACTTATAATGGATCAATTGCGCTTTGAGAATTCTGGCTCAGTTGTTTACATCACTTAATGCATATTTATATTTATATTCATATTTATAATTTATATATTATACAGTTTATTCCCTTTTCTGCCATGCAAGAGGTCTTAACAGAAAAGTTCACCCAAAAATTCTAATTCAAAATGTGGTTCTAAACATGTATGACTCTTTTTATTTTTTATTTTATTTTTTTGTGAAACATAAAAGATGATATTTTGAAGAATGTTTAAGCTGCTCTTTTCTATGCAATGCAAGTAAATGAGGAACGCTAAATTTAATGTCAATCAATTTGAGGTGATTGACATCTACTAAATTTTTCATTAGTACATGTTTGGAACAAATTGAAGGTGAGTAAGTGATAACCAAATTTTTGGGTGAACTATCCCTTTCAACAGAACGTGAGTGTGCGTATGTGACTCTTTCTGTGGGATGGTGTGAATGCGTGTTTTCATGTTGTCTCTTGTGTCTCTCAGTGACGGTCACTCCTGGCTATTTCTGCTGCAGAGGTACCTCATCTTCTCTCCTTTCTCATCTCTTTTCCTGTTTGACGGCATCTGTCTGTCTATTTCAATCTGAGCCTCTAAACCTTTTTGTTCAGCTTCCAGTCCATCCCATTACTGCTGTGTCTTTTAGTATATGTAGTGTGTGTGTGAGCGTGTGAGGACTGTGTGAGGTCTATGTGTCAGCTAGCATCATGCTAACCATTCAAACCAGGCTTGGCCAGGCCTGGACTCGATTCCTTTCATGTGTGTCCTGGATGAATATTGCAAGTGAAACGCATCCAGGACCAGGGTGTGGCCAGGCTTGGGGTTTCTAATATTGCTTGAAGCAGCTCTTAAAGAGCAATTACTCATGGAGAAATGAATTACAGGCCCCACCTGGTTTGTGGGGAGGAAATTATATGGTGCGGCAGTTATCAACTGCCCTGCTCTGACTGGGTTTGATGGAAAAGTGACTGTCATGCAGTGTTGGGGAAGCTACTTTGAAACTGTAGCTTGCCAAGGTAAAAGCTACTTATAATTTAAAATAGTTATAGGTAACTACAGTAAAGCCACATTTTTGGTAAATTAATTAGCCACACTACACACTAATAACAAAACAGTAAAACTTGCTGTTACTTAAACTTGAGGAAAACTGACTTTATAAATACAACTAATTGGAAACCATGTTATTTTGGTATTATTTATAGTGTTATAGTTTTCATTTTTATTTTATTTGTACTTAAATTGTACTATATATATATATATATATATATATATAGTACAATACATAATAGTACAATATATATATATATATATATATATATATTAGTGCTGCCAAGCGATTAATCGCATCCAAAATAAAAGTTTTTGTTTACATAATATATGTATTTGTACTGTTTTTATTTATTATGTATATATAAATACACACACATAGAGTATATATTTTGAAAATATTTACATATACATACGTATATACATTTATATTATTATATTTCGTATTATATATAAATATATTTAATATATGAACATATTTTTCTTAAATATATACATGCATGTGTTTGTATTTATATATACATAATAAATATACACCGTACACACTCATATATTATGTAAACAAAAACTTTTATTTTGGATTTTTATTTATTTGTTTTTTTTATCTTCAGTACTTAAGCATATTTTTATTTTAGTACTTAAACTTAAGCATGCTATTGACGTAACGTTAATGTTTTCATCTAATATTTAATGTGTATATATAGCTTTATTTCAGTTAACAAAAAATAGTTTGTTTTAGTGTCAGTTAATAATGCACCAATGCTAGAAACACTCTACATTTATATAACTTGGTTGAAAACATTGATGAACAGCAGCATTTAATTAAATATTTTGCTATAAAACAGTAGACATAAAATGTTATGTAGGGACTTTGCACAATAAATTATTCAAATGATTGTCTAAAACGAATCCCACTTAGTTTAAGTGAACGGTTGTTGCATTTTGGCCATCAGTAATGCTACATTCTGTGTCCTACTTTAACACTACTGAAAATTGTAACTGAATTGTCTGTGCATTTCGTTAGTTACTCCCCAACGCTGATGTCTTGAGGGCATAACAGAGAACTTCTGACCACAGCTACTGCTGCCATTGTGCACAGCCCTTTCTCTCTCTCCCTCCCTTTCTCTCTCTCAGCTGGCTGCTCCGGTCTGTGTGTTGTGCAAGGGCTGCTGCATTGGGTATCTGTTATTGAGAATGCTCCGTGGAGGCTTGTGTTGGTTTTCAGTGTTTGCTAAAAGCATCATCAGGCATGACCCTCAGGTGTCTGTCGACGCTGTTTTTACATGGTGGGCTGAGGGAAGCTGTGCTTTTGTTTTGTTTTTTAGTGAGTTCTTGTTTTGAAGATGCTTGCTCTGACTCACTTCACTCTTAACCCCCTGCATCGTGTCTACCACGTGCACTGACCGCTTTTAAAGTGGGTAAACGATCCCTCTGTCTGCATTGAGTCAAAGCAGTGGGCCGGAGTCACATTAGTGCACTGCTCTCCGCCTGATCATCGTCCCTTACGGCCAAGCAGCTGAACTCATTTCTCCTCCTTTCATCTTCTGCAGCTCGTGGACGTACCAACCTGGAGCTTCGAGAAAAGTTCATTCTTCCAGAGGGAGCTACGCAGGGTCTGGCGGCCTTCCGGTCCCGGGGTCGGCGATCCAAACCTTCATCGCGCACGGCTTCGCCCACCCGGTCATCTTCATCCGCGTCGCACAGCGCCCACAGCTGCGCCTCTCTACCCTCCGCACCCGCAACACCCACAGCCTCCTCAAGGGTGAGTGTCACCATATTACACTCCATAAGGAAATAACCCATACTTACTGTTTGTTGTGGGAGCATGCTTATACACTAATATCTTCATGAAAAATTTGAAACAGTTTTCGTGTCATATCAACTGTTTGGGGGTCTTTTTTTGGAAAGACCATAATACCTTTATTTAGCAAGGATGCATTTATTTGATCAAAAGTAACAGTAAACAGCTTTGCCATCACATGAATAAATTACATTTGAAAATATATTCAAAACAGAAAACAGTTATTTTAAACTGTAATAATATTTCACAATATTATTGTTCTTACTGTATTTTTGATAAAATATATGCAGCCTTGGTGAGCACCTTTAAAAACCATCAAAATCTTACTAACCCCAAACGTTTGAACTCTAGTGTACATTTAATCAATTTATCTAGATCTTGATTATGTAGATATATCTACAGTTGTGCTTGTTTACAAGCATTTGTATAGACACCATTTGCAGAATCGGTAATGATGTTTAGCATTTTACAAAAACAAGAGATAAAATCTTATATAATCTACTGCACTGAAGATGTTGATGCATAAGAGATCTTTGCATATATATATGCAGTACCAAATATGAGACAAAATCTAATAGTAATGAGAGCGATCTAGCAGACGAGCATAACTGTAGTTTCTCTTGCAAAAGCTTTGGTAATAAATGTCCTTTGTCACATAACGCATAACATCATACTTCATATCTGAATGTTCATCATGGTCTTTGTCTACATCTGTACGTTACAAAGTATTATGAGTATTTAAATATGTAATTGCATGTGTTTTATGTTTTCATCTAAAGTTTAAACATTAAAAATATGTATCTTAAGAAAATATTCCCATAAGATTTTATAAGTTTGCTGGCATTTAATGCATTAAGTCCTATATTAAATATGAACAAAGTTTGTAATACTGGTTTAGTACGGTGCCAAACTTTTTGGATTTTTTTTTTTCAATAAACACACACACACACACTACTTTTTTTTATTTAGCAAGGATGCATTAAATTGATCAAAGGCATGTAGAATGTTACAAAAGATTTCTGTTTCAAATAAATGCTGTTCTTTTGAACTTTCATTTAGAAAAAGTACTGAAAAAATAGCAGTTTCCACAAAAATATTAAGCAGCACAACTGTTTTATATTATAAAATAAGAAATATTTCTTGAGCACCAAAGCAATATTGTAGACTGCTGAAAATTAAAGGATTAAATTACATTTTAAAATCTATTCAAACAGGAAATTTTACAATATTGCTGTTTTTACTACAATTTTCATCAAATAAATGCAGCCTTGGTGAGCATAAGAAACTTCTTTCAAAACATTTTTTAAAAATCTTAAGAGACACCAAACTTTTGTACGGTAGTCTGTTTGTGTATATAATATATATAAAATATTTTTTAAAAATTAGTTTTTTTTTTTTTTTTATCATTTCCAATTACTTGGCCAGGCCGACATTTGAGTCTTGTCACTAATCCTTAAGATGTCTTGAAATCAGCAGTGTGATGTCTCCTTTTTGGTGGATGGTTTCTCTGTCTCTGATTGTGGTGTTTGTTTACATTGTTGTTTTGGGATCAGGACATGGTCACTACTGTCTCTGCATGTCAAAATCACATTGTCATCTGTGAGATTTTTATTTGTTCTTTGTCTTTTTGTCCCTCTCCCCTCCCTTGCTTGGAAAATGTGCCTTCCTCCACCCTTCCTCCCTATTTGTGCTCATCTCCACCTACAAAAACACTATGCTCTGTCATGCTGCATTGCCTCCCTTACTCTTTTTCCGATTATCCTGGCTTCTTCCCACTGCTTTTTTGCTACTCCACTCTTCCACGTCCTTTCTGCTACCGCATTTCCCAGTCCTCCCAATCCCAATCTCGTGGCTATGCCAAGCCCTGGCTGGCACACAGTAAAACTCCAACACCAACCAAGTGCCAGTCCTGCCCAGAGCACAGCCAGACCCCTGGGCGTGAGGTAACACACTGCCCCCTCCCAATGCCCTAGCACACTAACAATAAAAGCTTTAAGTGCGGCCTGATCTCAACGAATGGGAAGGACCTGAGGTAGACCTACTCTGTGGCCCTTATATGTTGCTAAAGAGTGTAGACTGTTACCTTATGCAGCTTAGTCTCCAGTGTGAGAACAGACAGATGTAGCTGGCTTGAGAAACAGTTCATTTCATGTTCATCAAGGAGTTATTCTGTTAAACCTTCTTGTTATGACAGTTTTTATTCATCCAGGTCATGAAAAACTCCAACACCAACCAAGTGCCAGTCCTGCCCAGAGCACAGCCAGACCCCTGGGCATGAGGTAACACACTGCCCCCTCCCAATGCCCTAGCACACTAACAATAAAAGCTTTAAGTGCGGCCTGATCTCAACGAATGGGAAGGACCTGAGGTAGACCTACTCTGTGGCCCGTATATGTTGCTAAAGAGTGTAGACTGTTACCTTATGCAGCTTAGTCTCCAGTGTGAGAACAGACAGATGTAGCTGGCTTGAGAAACAGTTCATTTCATGTTCATCAAGGAGTTATTCTGTTAAACCTTCTTGTTATGACAGTTTTTATTCATCCAGGTCATGATCCCCGATTTGCTATATTACCGAACCTTTAAACTTGAATCATCTTCCTTCATCAGACACCAAACGTGCCCCGTCCTCGACGAGCGGCCCAGCCAGTCGAGCAGGGAGTCGCGCTGGAAGCCGAGCCAGCAGCCGAAGAGGCAGCGACGCTTCAGACACGTCTGAGCTCATGGAGACACGCTCGGCTTGCTCCGATACCTCAGACACCCCTCGCCGGCCTGGGGCCAAACCCTCCAAAATCCCCACCATCTCCAAGAAGGCCCCCAGCCCCAAAACACCAGCGGGCAAGAAATGAAGCCTCCACCCTATCAGTCTAAGTGACTGACTCTGAGGTGGTTGTGATTTAACCAGCAGGGGGAGAACACCTACACCTTCCTCTCTCCAGCGTCCAGCACAGCCGCACACTGCTACACCACCCAGATCAATACCTACCATAATGCTGCCTTATTTGTGTTCTACATCATGTCCTTAATTTGACTGACATTGTGTTTTTTTGAATGTGCGATGGAGAACATCTGGTGTGAGCAGACATATCTACACAGACACTCGGGAGGGACGTCAGTCCTGCACCAGGGGTTTTCACTATTCTTCACTATGAATATGCAACCGCCCGTCACTCTCCAAACCTCATGCATGGTTGTCACTTTGGTTGGACAGACTCGCCCTTTTCAAGTGTATGCAGACCAGTCTCTCCTCTGAGTGTCTGTGCCTCCGCAAACAAGAGGAAACAAATGAAAAACAGAGACATTTTCCTCCTGGACAATTAGGAGTTTTTGGACTCGTGTATGTTTGTATGTATGTATGTGTGGTAGTTCCTGTCATGGTAAATTAACGCAGTAATACGGAGAGGAAGTGGAGGAGGATACATATCTCTAGCCTTCCCATGCCTGAAGATCCTTGAAGACTAGATTCCTCACGTCACACGTGATCCTTTTAAAGGAACTCCTATAGCGCACAGCACACGTTCACACCGACGGTCTTCTCCGCTGTGTGTCCACGCAGTCTAGTTGTGTCCTTTTGTTACAGACATCATGTTTCGGAGCTTTTCCACAGTATGCAAAAATGATTACAATTGTGAATGTTTGTTTCATGGTTAATTTATAATCCTGACATTTTGTTTCTTTTCTAGAGTAAAGAGCTGTATTTATTTGTGATTGCAGTATCATATGAACTCTTAAGAATGACTAGTATTAACACAACCGGAATCACTCTTGGTTTCGTTTTTGTACAACCGCTCCTGACGTAATGAATTTCTCCGACTGATGTTATAACTGACCAGGAAGCTTACTGATTCCAATGGTGGCCTTTTTGCCGGTGACTACACTTTAGATGACGTCAAAGTGGCTTCCTACTTGTTCTTTCGTGACGGAAGCACCCTAAATAATGAATGATGGGGGCGGCTCGCGTAGCCCCCGTTAAAAACGGCGCTTTGAATCTTGTCTTTGACAAACTGAAGTATATGAATACCTGAATAAAGGTGATTTTTATTTATTTATTGTGTCATTGGGAGGGAGGTGAGGGCTGTGAAAGGATCCACCTTTTGATTGTGTTACTCTTTTGACATGACTGAGAGAAACAGGGGTGCAATTGTGTAAAAGTAAAGAAGTTATGATTATAAATCCTTTTTGTTCTCTTTTGTATTAAAACAATGCTTGCAGTAAAACGGTCTGGTTTTGTGTTGTCGAGTGGTGTGTGTGAGCGTGCAGGGATGCCACAGTTAACAGGAAATGGCACAGTAATTACAAGAAGTAGAGATAATGACACACCCCATTAAATCTTCAAAAGGGGACGAGGCTTTGGTGTGTGCAGAGATTTGAACACTGTGCTTTTATAGTCGTTCGGGAGTTCAGAAATGGCCCACGAGTGAATAGAAGCACCTTTGTTTGTGCCGTGTGTGTTGGTCACACGTAAGTAGTGTGTGTTTGTACTGGACTCTGTATGTTTGGTGGTCAGATGCAGCGGATGGGGTTTGGGAAGGGTGGCGTTCCATCATCTCCATTCTGCAGCTGTGTGTCTGTGTTTATATACAAATATTTAAACCCACTCACATCCTTTCCCACCAAACACCATCCACACCACTGCTGAGCTCTCATGGCATCTTACAGTCCTGCAGTGTCATTTCATTTTTATAATCAACTGAGTTAAATACACAACCACTCACTTTTTGCATTTTCAGTGTTTTTTTTATCAATCGACCGTTTTTCGCGTGCAGGGATGCCACAGTTAACAGGAAATGGCACAGTAATTACAAGAAGTAGAGATAATGACACACCCCATTAAATCTTCAAAAGGGGACGAGGCTTTGGTGTGTGCAGAGATTTGAACACTGTGCTTTTATAGTCGTTCGGGAGTTCAGAAATGGCCCACGAGTGAATAGAAGCACCTTTGTTTGTGCCGTGTGTGTTGGTCACACGTAAGTAGTGTGTGTTTGTACTGGACTCTGTATGTTTGGTGGTCAGATGCAGCGGATGGGGTTTGGGAAGGGTGGCGTTCCATCATCTCCATTCTGCAGCTGTGTGTCTGTGTTTATATACAAATATTTAAACCCACTCACATCCTTTCCCACCAAACACCATCCACACCACTGCTGAGCTCTCATGGCATCTTACAGTCCTGCAGTGTCATTTCATTTTTATAATCAACTGAGTTAAATACACAACCACTCACTTTTTGCATTTTCAGTGTTTTTTATCAATCGACCGTTTTTCCTATTAAAACATGTCAGTAAGTCTCACTTTATATGGGTGTATTTGCGCAGTTGACAAATGGCATGTCAATGGACCTCTTTTTTTATTTCAGAGTTCAACAAGATTTTAGGTAAAATGGTAAAGTGGTCGAGTGTACATGTGTATATAAATTATTAAATTTTTTAATATATTTTTTTTGTCTGCATATTGTGTGTGTGTGTTTAAGAAAAGGTATAAAATGGTTTAATGGTTTTAGATTAAGCAAAATCTATTTTGTCACTGGTTCATACTGTAACCCTGGACCACAAAAGCAGTCATAAGTAGCACGGGTATATTTGTAGCAATAGCCAACAATACACTGTATGGGTCAAAATTATCGATTTTTCTTTTAGACTATGCCAAAATTATTAGGATAAGTAAAGATCGTGGTTAAGATATTTTGTAAATTTTTACTACCGTAAATATATCAAAACATAATTTTTGATTAGTAATATGCATTACTAAGGACTTCATTTGGACAGCTTTAAAGGCGAATGTCTCAATATTTTGATATTTTGCACCTTCAGATTCCAGATTTTCAAATAGTTGTATCTTGGTCAAATATTGTCCTATCCTATCTTAATAAGCTTATTTATTCAGCTTTCAGATTATGTATAAATCTCAATTTCAAAAACAATGACTCCAGGGTCACATTTTCACTACCTGTCTGCAGGGACAGTTTTAAGAGTTAATTTTCTATTCACACCAAGTAGAACCCACAAATTTCTCGAAATTGCCATCTTTATATCTTCAGTAAGACAGCAGTGATCTGTCACTCCTTGGCTACTGTTGAAACCTCAGAATATAAATATAGTTTTCATATTACCATAGCCATAAGAACTCATTTCTAGTCTGTGCAAAAGCTAGATCACATCTGAGAACATCTTTATGGCAAACCACATGATAATTGTCAGCAATTTGTGAGGTATGTGTAGAAGATGAGACGGTTTGATAGTAGATGGAGATTGAGGTGACAAGGGTTTAAGGAAGAGAGGGCGGAGGATCCAGTCGTTGGAAACACTCCCTCTGTGTAAGTGTGTATCTTGGAGGGAACGAGGTCACCCGTGTTCAGATTATGCCTTCAACGCAAGCAGCACACAGGCTAAGAATACCACAGCTCACTGGGATCTCGCAACTTTACAATTCGGAAAGACGTTTGGGGTCCGTAATGCTACTCTGGTGGACAAATCATACAATTTTGAATTGGATATTTTGAACTTGGATATTTCCACTCATTGGATTAAATGTTCTAACCCCAATATTGATTGATTACTGCAAGGAAGTTTTGTAGCTTTTTGTTTTTCAATTAAACTTTGAGGATTTCATCAGCTTGGAGTCGCGATTCATCTTCTTAAAAGGAGCATAAGCAGGTGTTGTGTTTGATCCAGAAACCTTTGAAGAAAAAAACTTTGAAACCTAAGGTTTGTGAGGCCCTGTGTTTTTATTTACTCTAGCTAAAGACTTTAATTTCACATTGTGCTTAGTCCTTCCAACTTCGAGATCACCGCTGAAAGGAGTTGAGCTTCTAGGAAGACCTGTTTGTTTTCTCTTCCAGTTTCTAGGATATTTTTTGTCGTCCATCTCCGTAAGCACACTAGATTATGAGAGAAGCCCTGCGGTTTGGTAAATAAAGTGACAGCATGAGGAACGACTGTCAAAAGGCGATAAACTGAGCGGCTTGTAGCAGTAAACATTGCACTCTCCCAAATAACGATGACTGCTGTGGAATCTGAATGGCTTAGACGTCTGAGTGTCGTTCAGAGTTGAACTTCAAGACGGTAGTCAAACCATTCCAGAGAAGACCGACGTCGGGTAAACACCCAGAGGTTTTGGAAGGACAAATACGATCTTTATAGACCGCTGCAATGGAGCAGAGCTCTTCTGCTGCACCAATGGACAAACAAGAGTGTGTGGTTGAGTTTGTGTC